ATTTCTAACCTGCTCGCGCGACCCTCTGCGGGGATCGGCGTGGTCGAGGTGCAAAAACCCATGGTTTTTTGCGATTTCTGCTGCTCGCGCGACCCTCTGCGGGGATCGGCGTGGTCGAGGTGCAAAAACCCATGGTTTTTTTGCGATTTCTATCCTGCTCGCGCGACCCTCTGCGGGGATCGGCGTGGTCGAGGTGCAAAAACCCATGGTTTTTTGCGATTTCTAACCTGCTCGCGCGACCCTCTGCGGGGATCGGCGTGGTCGAGGTGCAAAAACCCATGGTTTTTTGCGATTTCTGCGGTGCTCGCGCAACCCTCTGCGGGAATCGGCGTGGTCGAGGTGCAAAAACTCAAGGTTTTTTGCGACTTTTGTTGTTCGAACTGGTCCTCGGGAGTTGTCTCGTGGTTCGCGCGCCTGCTCCCGGAACCGGCGGGTCGCGGGTTCGATTCCTCCCTGGTCCGCGGGCGGGCGTCGCAAGATGCAACTTGCATTTTACAGCAACTTGCAGAGCAACTTGCGCAGACCAACTTGCACCGACCAGTTTGCGCAGAGCGCCTTGCCTAGAGCAACTTGCGCAGAGCAACTTACGCAGAGCAACTTGCACAGAGCAACTTGCACAGAGCAGCTTGCACAGAGCAACTTGCAGGGAGCGCAATTTGCACAACTTGCGCAGAGCAACTTACGCAGAGCAACTTGCACAGAGCAACTTGCACAGAGCAGCTTGCACAGAGCAACTTGCAGGGAGCGCAATTTGCACAGAGCAACTTGCAGGGAGCCACTTGCAGGGACCAACTTGCCGGAGCAACTTGCGCGGAGCAACTTGCGCAGAGCAACTTGCACAGTGCAACTTGCGTAGAGCAACTTGCGCAGACCAACTTGCACCGACCAGTTTGCGCAGAGCACCTTGCCTGGTGCTGTCTCGCGCCAACTTGCACATATTGCAACTCGCACAGAGCAACGTGCAGGGAGCCACTTGCAGGGACCAACTTGCCGGAGCAACTTGCGCGGAGCAACTTGCGCAGAGCAACTTGCACAGTGCAACTTGCGTAGAGCAACTTGCGCAGACCAACTTGCACCGACCAGTTTGCGCAGAGCACCTTGCCTGGTGCTGTCTCGCGCCAACTTGCACACACTGCAACTCGCACAGAGCAACTTGCGCAAAGCAACTTGCGCAGAGCAACTTGCGCATGTGCCAGGCCGGGGTTAAACAAGTTTGCCGCACATCGTGGGGAGTTATGCTTTCAGGCCACTCACCCTGTAGGAGTTTGACGCAAGGAGTTCTCATCATGAAAGAAGTTGCGGGGAGCATGGCGCACACGGCTTATTTACGGGCATGGCGCACACGGCTGGTTGTTATGTGGCATCTTGCGGATGATCATCGAGATTTGGCTCAAACAGGAGCTCGAAGTAGCTAGGCTTCAGGCTGGCGCGGCCCAGCATGGCAAAGCGTGGCTGCAGCAAGAGGTGGCGGCCAAAGCCCAACCCCAACTTCGCGCACTCGCCCGACAGCTGGACGTGCGCCAATGGGTCGCAGGCAGCAACGTGACCAAGGCAGACCTAGCTGCCGCTGTCGTGGAGCAGCTGTGCCCACAGGCCAGGATCAAAATCTGGAAAGTTTTGCTGGTGTTTGTTTTGCTGTGCTGATTGTTGCCAGGAGAGCAGTTCTGCGGCTTCGCCGACGCCGGTGTCTCGACCTGGTCGTAGTCGGTGTTTGACGCTATTGTTTTTGATGATGTTTTGCGGATGGCCGAAATGTAAGCGCCAGATGGCACCATGTCGTGTTTCTTACGGACGGTTGCCTCATCTCATGGACATGGCAGGATGAGGCAGAGCTTGTCGTGGCCACGCTTCGTGCTGGTTTGGCGGAGAAGGGCAAGGCGTGGCTCCAGCAAGAGGTGGCGGCCAAAGCCCAACTTCAACTTCGCGCGCTCGCCCGACGGCTGGATGTGCGCCAACGGGTCGCAGGCAGCAACGTGACCAAGGCAGACCTAGCTGCCGCTGTCGTGGAGAAGCTGTGCCCACAGGCCAGGATCGAAATCTGGAGAGTTTTGCTGGTGTTTGTTTTGCTGTGCTGATTGTTGCCAGGAGCCAAGCAGTTCTGCGGCTTCGCCGACGCCGGTGTCTCGACCTGGTCGTAGTCGGTGTTTGACGCTATTGTTTTTGATGATGTTTTGCGGATGGCGGCCAAAGCCCAACCCCAACTTCGCGCACTCGCCCGACGGCTGGATGTGCGCCGATGTGTCGCAGGCAGCAGCGTGACCCAGGCAGACCTAGCTGCCGCTGTCGTGGAGAAGCTGTGCCCACAGGCCAGGATCGAAATCTGGAGAGTTTTGCTGGTGTTTGTTTTGCTGTGCTGATTGCTGCCAGGAGCCAAGCAGTTCTGCGGCTTCGCCGACGCCGGTGTCTCGACCTGGTCGTAGTCGGTGTTTGACGCTTTTGTTTTTGATGATGTTTTGCGGATGGCCGAAATGTAAGCACCAGATGGCACCATGTCGTGTTTCTTACGGACGGTTGCCTCATCTCATGGACATGGCAGGATGAGGCAGAGCTTGTCGTGGCCACGCTTCGTGCTGGTTTGGCGGAGAAGGGCAAGGCGTGGCTCCAGCAAGAGGTGGCGGCCAAAGCCCAACCCCAACTTCGCGCACTCGCCCGACAGCTGGATGTGCGCCAATGGGTCGCAGGCAGCAACGTGACCAAGGCAGACCTAGCTGCCGCTGTCGTGGAGCAGCTGTGTGGCCAGGTCGGCTCCAAAGCTGCGCAGTCTTGTGTTTTTTTCCCGAAAGCATGGCGAAGGGTTCTTCCGCTGGGTTCACTTGAGTTGTTCTCATGAGAGTCATTACAAGGTGTCATTGCAAGAATCATCATCATGAAAGTCATTGCAAGGAGTCATTGCAAGGAGTCATTGCAAGGAGTCATTGCAAGGAGTCATTGCAAGGAGTCATGGCAAGGAGTCATGGCAAGGAGTCATTGCAAGGAGTCATTGCAAGGAGTCATTGCAAGGAGTCATTGCAAGGAGTCATTGCAAGAGAGTCATTGCAAGGAGTCATTGCAAGGAGTCATTGCAAGGAGTCATTGCAAGGAGTCATTGCAAGGAGTCATTGCAAGGAGTGCAATTGCAACTGCTTGCACTTGCAACTTGCACTTGACTCCTTGCACTTGCAACTTGCACTTGACTCCATGCACTTGCAACTTGCACTTGACTCCATGCACTTGGCTCCTTGCACTTGGCTCCTTGCACTTGGCCCCTTGCGCTTGCAACTTGCACTTAACTCCGTGCACTTGCGACTTGCACTTGACTCCATGCACTTGGCTCCTTGCAACTTGCAATGGCTCTCATGACTCCTTGCAATGACTCCTTGCAATGACTCCTTGCAATGACTCCTTGCAATGACTCCTTGCAATGACTCCTTGCAATGACTCCTTGCAATGACTCCTTGCAATGACTCCCAATGACTCCTTGCAATGACTCCTTGCAATGACTCCTTGCAATGACTCCTTGCAATGACTCCTTGAAACAAGCAAGGAGTCAAGTGCAAGTTGCAAGTGCAAGGAGTCAAGTGCAATTGACTTGCGAGGAGTTAAAATCTCTTCTTAGGGCGGCGGGGTAGTGCCGACGACACTACACGAAAATCGACCCTCTGCGGGGATCGGCGTGGTCGAGGTGCAAAAACCATGGTTTTTGCGATTTCTAAAGTTCCCGCGCGACCCTCTGCGGGGATCGGCGTGGTCGAGGTGCAAAAACCGATGGTTTTTTGCGATTTCTAACCTGCTCGCGCGACCCTCTGCGGGGATCGGCGTGGTCGAGGTGCAAAAACCATGGTTTTTTGCGATTTCTAACCTGCTCGCGCGACCCTCTGCGGGGATCGGCGTGGTCGAGGTGCAAAAACCCATGGTTTTTTGCGATTTCTAACCTGCTCGCGCGACCCTCTGCGGGGATCGGCGTGGTCGAGGTGCAAAAACTCAAGGTTTTTTGCGATTTCTGCGGTGCTCGCGCAACCCTCTGCGGGGGTCGGCGTGGTGGAGGTGCAAAAACTCGAGGTTTTTCGCGACTTTTGTTGTTCGAACTGGTCCTCGGGAGTTGTCTCGTGGTTCGCGCGCCTGCTCCCGGAACCGGCGGGTCGCGGGTTCGATTCCTCCCTGGTCCGCGGGCGGGCGTCGCAAGATGCAACTTGCATTTTAAAGCAACTTGCGCAGAGCAACTTGCGCAGAGCAAGTTGCACAGAGCAACTTGCGCAGACCAACTTGCACCGACCAGTTTGCGCAGAGCGCCTTGCCTAGAGCAACTTGCGCACGCAGAGCAACTTGCGCAGAGCAACTTGCACAGAGCAGCTTGCACAGAGCAACTTGCAGGGAGCGCAATTTGCACAGAGCAACTTGCAGGGAGCCACTTGCAGGGACCAACTTGCCGGAGCAACTTGCGCGGAGCAACTTGCGCAGAGCAACTTGCACAGTGCAACTTGCGTAGAGCAACTTGCGCAGACCAACTTGCACCGACCAGTTTGCGCAGAGCACCTTGCCTGGTGCTGTCTCGCGCTTGCTTCACGAATGCTTCGTGTAGGGAAAAAGAACGCATCCTGCAGCGTTGGGCCGACCTCGCTTGCGATGTTCTGCTTTCGGGCCACAATTAGTCATGGCCCCAAAAGGTGACAACCTGTTATTTCTGGGTCCGACCAGGGCAGCTAAGTAGTGAGCCAAAGGAAACCTTGGACAAAGTAGTCATATGGTGGTCCCACTTTGGTATCACAGAAAAGTAAGATTTCCCACAACTATGGACAGGCAACGAAGCCTGGTCGAGTGCAAACTGAGCCGTGAACAAAATCACCTTTGAACTTTTTGGAGCACGCCAATTTCTCCACTCACCCATTGACAAGCTGAACAGTGTATCACTTTTCATAGGGGTCGGTCTTGTGAAGGTTTAATTCATTCCCGTTTGCTGTCGTTCAAGCAACGAGCCTCATCTTGGCATGCGCAGTTTGGATTCTGAGATCGTGATCGCTCCGAAGCTGTGTTGCTCCGCTGGGTGGCCGGTCTGCGCAAGCGGCGGGCTAGGCGGCCGGATTGTGAAAACACCACGGCATCTGTGGCTTTTGCTTTGTGTCTTCTTGACGGCTGGGTTTTGTTGGTTTCGGTTGTTGCAACACACACATACAATCGCTTGATTTGGCTTGAAGTTGAAGCGGCCCTGAATTTTGATAGGGAAGCACCTCAAAAGTGGTTGGTGGACATGAGTCCCTTCCTGAATGATGTGCACCAAGGGGTTTTCCATCAGCCAAATGATCCAAGTGCTCGCGCAGGTCCCATGCTGGAGTTCTTGAGAGAAAGCCTTTTGTGCAACACCGAGGAGCTGTGGGCTCAGGATGCCGACATACGCCACTTTGCGGAAGCTGGGCTTTCTGAAAGCCAGTCAAAGATGTACATGTTCTGCTTGGGCGGGGGCGGTGCCTCTTGTAGCGCATGGCTTTGGGCTAATCAAATTGCGACAGAAGCATGTCCGACTCGTTGCTGCCAAGTTTGAAGCGGCTTGCATTCGAGCATTGTCGGCTTCAAGCATCCGCTTTGATTGGTTGATTCTCTTCGCAATGACCCAGAGACTCGCCTGCGCCAAGATCTTCGGAGTGCCCCTCTTCGGTTTGGGCATGGTGCTCTTGTGTTGGAGCGCGCCAGCTTTCGTGACCCCGTCCAAGTTGCAGCCGCTGCAAACTTCCGGACGGACGGCCGGGACAGGTGCTGAGCGCCCCATGGAACAAGACTCCATGCCTGCCACTGGGCTTGCTTGCTGCCAGGTGGGCAAGAATTTGGTTTGAACCACACCTTTATAGGAGGTTCTGTTAGACCGAGACCTGTTTCGGGCCGCCTGTAAAGGGAAGCCAAAAGCAGGCTGTTAAAAGTTTAGTCGTTTAGTCAGGTTGTAAACAGGCGGTATGGAGCCCTGCCAGGCTTTTGCCATGGTTGCTGCGGCTGCCATCGGCGTTCAGGCTCGCAAGCGCCGTTCTTCGTCCCGGACGACGATGAACTACGACAGCTTCAACTTCACCCCGGTCGTCCCTTGGCCCTTGATCCGTGACCATCAACGCGTTGGGAAACTCGTTTGACCGCTTCTTCAGCCTGGAGCCGAAAAAAACAAAAAAAAAAAAAACAAAAAAACAACACATAAACAAATGAGATCTTTGGACCTTTGGGAAACAACCATCAGCAAGTTTGACTTTTGGCCGCCTCAACACAGGTCGGGTCGCAATACAAGTTCAGCAACGATGTGGGCTACCTGCCGGATGGCACCTCTGCTGCTCTTTGGTACGACGTTTCACCTTTTAGCTTAATTTGACAATGGGACTACTTCCCTGCGCAACAAGGCACCACCTTTTTGCTGACCTCAACAGATAGTTCTACAACCCCCATTTCTGCCAAAAAAACCTCGGCCCCCCAGTGGCCCTTTTGGCCCTTTTTTCGGGGAGGGTTCCCCTACTGAAATAGACTACAGAAAAAAAATATCCGGGTGCCCGTATTTCAACCTCTTTACTGGAGGACCTAGAAACTGAAGCCAGTTCCTTCAGACCAAGCGAGGTACGCCTTTGAGCAAGGCGGGAAACAATATCAACCACCCGGAGCGCATGCAGCCGGATTCGCCTACTTCCGAAGACCCGCTGCCGGTGGGCGAGTACGTGAATTCGGTGGGCTACTTGCCGGATGGTACTCCGCTGAACAAGGCACACTTGAGCAAAACGTTTTGGTTCTTTGTGGCTATCTGGTCGGATCTTTGGACTTTCACTTTTCGGGGAAAAGCGGATTTGCCACTGGACCAAAGAACAGTTTTTGGCTGTTTGCAGAGGGGTCAACAGCAAACAAGTTTCAGCATGTTTGGACACCCGTTGTTTAAACATCTTTTGGTTTCCCTTTCATTTGGGAGGCTGGAAATAACATCAACCACCCCGAGCGCATGCCCGCGGACATCCACGCGCCTGGTACGGCGCTGCCGGTGTCCGCCTACCAGGCATGTGAGAAATTCATGGTGCGGTGGCTCGTTTTGTTTTGACTTGTACCCCGTTTTGGGCGCGCTTTAAAGGGAAACCAAAAGGGAAAACCACTTTTTTACTTGGGGTTGAGTTGGTATCATTATTTTATGGTTTTGAAGGGAAACCAAAAGGCCATTTTGGAGGGTCCGATTCCCAAAAAAGACAGCGGTCATGTGAGGTTCGGTCAAAGTTTCCTGAGTTGTTTGTTGTTCATTTGGGGACGACAACGGGTTGGCGAGCTCTCAATTTCTCACGACTTTCACCCACAAAACCCGGGATGTCCTCTTGGGGACACAAGTAATTTTGAACGTGGTTCATGCGACTAAACCGCTATGGTTGCCGCAACAACCTCATTTTGGTTTCCGCTTGCGGACCCTTCAAGCGGGTCTGGCGGCCTGACACTTTGCGCCTTTCCGCTGTATCCAGGCGGATGTTGGATACCTGGTGGATGGCACGCCCACGACCTCTGCGGGCAACAACGCCGTGCATTCGTCTCTGAGCACTGCCGTGGCTCCTGCCCCAGCGGCTCCTGTCCCAGCTCCCGCCTTTTCAGCCCCTGCCCCGGCGGCCCCTGCCGCTGTTGGATCGGCGCAAGGTGTGCATCATGGCATCAAGTTCGACTACTCTTTCCAGAAGGATGCCTATGCTGACTTCGCATACACCAATGATGTTGGCTACTTGCCAGACGGCACTCCCATGAACCGGGCGGGAAATGCCATCAATCATCCTGAGATGATCCAGCCAGATCCCCACACTCCCGGTTCTCCGTTGCCCAGGGCCCTCTTTGTCAATTCGGTCGGCTACCTGCCTGATGGTACCCCCATGAACATGGCCGGCAACGCAGTCAACCACCCAGAGACAATCCAGCCAGACTTGCACACGCCTGGGGCGGCCTTGCCAGCGTCTGCCTACTCTGCGGATGTGGGGTACCTTGTGGATGGAACATCTCTTGATGCTGCCGGCAACAACTCCTTGAAGCCTGGCATGACGGCATCCCAGATGCCAGCATCAAGCGCGCCAGCTCCTGTCGTCTCGGCGCCAACCACAGCAGCACCCGCTTCTGCTGGATCGGCGCAAGGTGTGCATCATGGCATCAAGTTCGACTACTCTTTCCAGAAGGATGCCTATGCTGACTTTGCATACACCAATGATGTTGGCTACTTGCCAGACGGCACTCCCATGAACCGGGCGGGAAATGCCATCAATCATCCTGAGATGATCCAGCCAGATCCCCACACTCCCGGTTCTCCGTTGCCCAGGGCCCTCTTTGTCAATTCGGTTGGCTACCTGCCTGATGGTACCCCCATGAACATGGCCGGCAACGCAATCAACCACCCAGAGACAATCCAGCCAGACTTGCACACGCCTGGGGCGGCCTTGCCGGCGTCTGCCTACTCTGCGGATGTGGGGTACCTTGTGGACGGAACATCTCTTGATGCTGCCGGCAACAACTCCTTGAAGCCTGGCATGACGGCATCCCAGATGCCAGCATCAAGCGCGCCAGCTCCTGTCGTCTCGGCGCCAACCACAGCAGCACCCGCTTCTGCTGGATCGGCGCAAGGTGTGCATCATGGCATCAAGTTCGACTACTCTTTCCAGAAGGATGCCTATGCTGACTTTGCATACACCAATGATGTTGGCTACTTGCCAGACGGCACTCCCATGAACCGGGCGGGAAATGCCATCAATCATCCTGAGATGATCCAGCCAGATCCCCACACTCCCGGTTCTCCGTTGCCCAGGGCCCTCTTTGTCAATTCGGTCGGCTACCTGCCTGATGGTACCCCCATGAACATGGCCGGCAACGCAATCAACCACCCAGAGACAATCCAGCCAGACTTGCACTCGCCTGGGGCGGCCTTGCCAGCGTCTGCCTACTCTGCGGATGTGGGGTACCTTGTGGACGGAACATCTCTTGATGCTGCCGGCAACAACTCCTTGAAGCCTGGCATGACGGCATCCCAGATGCCAGCATCAAGCACGCCAGCTTCTCCTGTCTCGGCAGCAGTCGCAACGCCAGTTGCTGCTGCGTTTGTTGGATCCGCACAGGGTATGCATCACGGCATCAAGTTCGACTACTCTTTCCAGAAGGATGCCTATGCTGACTTCGCATACACCAATGATGTTGGCTACTTGCCAGACGGCACTCCCATGAACCGGGCGGGAAATGCCATCAATCATCCTGAGATGATCCAGCCAGATCCCCACACTCCCGGTTCTCCGTTGCCCAGGGCCCTCTTTGTCAATTCGGTCGGCTACCTGCCTGATGGCACCCCCATGAACATGGCCGGCAATGCAATCAACCACCCGGAGACAATCCAGCCAGATGTGCATGCGCCCGGAGCGGCCCTGCCAACGTCTGCCTACTCTGCGGATGTGGGATACCTTGTGGATGGAACACCCCTTCATGCTGCCGGCAACAACTCCTTGAAAGCAGGCACAGCATTGCGTGCTGCAATCCCAACTGTGCCACCTTCGCTGACTGCGTCCTCATCGCAAGCGGCTGCAGCTTCCTTTGTTGGATCTACGCGCGCTCGGGCCTCTGCCGCGGGCTTCCTTTACTCCGCCCAGCGGAGCGCCCATGCCGACTTTCTCTTCACCAACGATGTCGGCTACCTTCCAGACGGAACGCCGCTCAACAAGGCCCAAGCGACCAATGGGAGACCAATTCCCCCTTTAAAGGGGCACCAAGGAGGTTGTGTAAACAACAGTGAGGGGCCCTCTCTCTCCACCAGAAAGGTTGGACCCCCTCTAAGCTTCTAAGAACGATTCCTGGGTGGGGGGTGGGGGGTGTTTGGTTTCCTCCCTAGTGGCGGAGCTTGCTGGTGCTCAGCAGGGAAGGAGGGAATCAACGTGAGCAACCATCCCGTATGGTTTGCTTTAAGGGGAGCTGGGTCATTCCATACCAATCGCATCAACAAGTTACAGATATGGCTGTGGGTCAACAATAGGTACCCAAAATGGATGCCTGGTAAATGGACACATGGACTAAAACCTGTTTGGTGGTGTAATCTTCACCCCATACCCATATTTGAAGGGAAGGTTATGGGTTCCATCATGCATTGCAGCCTGCAAGGCCGGCAATGCGTTGAACCACCCCGAGCAGATCCAGGCCGATCCTCATTCCCCGGGCTCCCCTTTGCCGAGGGCCACCTTCGTGAATGACGTGGGCTACCTTCCGGATGGCACGCCCATGAACAAGGCGGGGCGTGCCTGCAACATGAAGCGGCGGGACCCCGACCCGCTTTCGAGCGAAGGGGAGGGAATCCTTGAAAGGGACATCGTCTACTTGGCGGTGCCCATACGATGAGACTTTTTGGACTTTCGGAGTTTAGAGCGGTTTATGGCATCCCCCGCGAAAGGTCTTTTGCTTGCGAAACCAATGGTACCATTTTGGGATAGGTGAATTCACTACCCATTTTAGAACCTATTTTAGTTGGGATCGGGATCTTCACTGGGGGCAAGCCGATTTGGGTTTTGACCCCATAGCCATGTAGGCTGAATCGCCCCGAGGCCGGCAATGCCATCAACCACCCAGAGCTGATTCAGCCGGATCCTCACACCCCAGGGTCGGCCCTTCCCGTGTCCAGCTACACCGCGGACGCGGGATGCCTCGCGGATGGCACGCCCCTTGGACGTTTTTTTTTTTTTTTTTTTTTTTTTTTAAGCAGGGCTCCTTAAAAGATACATTTTGCAACCATTTGAAACATGATGAAACATGGCTTTTTCCACCAAAGTAAGGGGAAACCGCCATTGACAAGGCAATGTTCAGGTGTATAATGTAAGGATCCCTGTTTAGATGCTTTTCGACTTTGAAAAACTTTTAAAGGCTTTGCCGTTTAGACTTAGGAGTTTACAGGCTAGGTCCCCCAGTAGTGTCCTTTTACCCTTTTTGGGGGGAGGGTTCCCCTACTAAGATAGACTACAGAAAAAGGGTACCCTTATTCTAACCTCTACTGGAGGACCCAGCAGGGATTCGCAACACGATTTGCTAGAGGAATCTTTGCGAGCCAGCATGGGATGAACGAGCCAGGCCCATCAACGCCGCCGGCAACAAGTCCATCCACTAGTCCCTTGAGCCGGACGCAGTTTCAGTTCCAATGTTTCAGTTTCAGAGCAGGCAATTTATGGCCAAGGCCTCACATGAGTCTTTACTTGACTTCATGAGAATCGCATCTCATGACCTTTGAGGACTCGTGACTCCTGCCTTATCCATAAGTTGCCTGGTCTTATCATCCGACAGAGTGGTGTGGAGCCGCTCTGATCGCGCTGTAGCTGCAGCCTGTGCAGGCTCAGAGCAGTGTGGGACAAGCTAGTGAACACGCTAGGCTTCAGTCCCGTCCGCTGGACCCCTGGTACACACCATCCAGGGTGCGTCCTTGAGGTCTGTTTTTCGGACCCCCCGAAAGATACGGGTTGATCGCCTCAATTCTCATGGCGCTTCGGCGGTCGGACTATCCCTGGTTCTGATGTCCACGGCTTTCGGGGGGGAGTTGAACAGATCTTTGTGCAAAGTGATCGCACAATGCAATGCCTGCGGAGGCACCGAGATCCAGATAGGGTTCTTGTTTGAGAATGGTTTCCAAGCAGTTAAAGTATTCAATTAAGCAGTCCACTGAATCTGAGTGATCGGAGCCCGCTATCAACTTCGAAGCTTCGTGCTTCAGTATCATATTCAATATGACTTTTGAAACGCGCGCAAGAAAAAAGCGAACCCGCGCCCTTGCAGCTTTTTTTTTTTTTTAAAAAAAAATAAATAACAACATGTATTTGTCTCTTTTTTTAGGCGGAGCGTCGACAGCGCGTGGGGCGGGCGCTCCGCTGTGAGACACGGGACGCATGGGTTGAAGCCGTGCCGAGGCCTCCCCAGAAGGGCGGGCGAAGGCCCGCGTTGCAAAGGGAGGCTGCAGCCAGGATAGTCCTTTCTACACCTGGACAAATGTGGGTGGTGTTTTTCAGGCTGCCGTTTCGGGTAAAGGGAGCCCGCACCACTGGGTTTTCCTGTTGTAAGACGCACCCATGCCTACCTGAAAGCGTAAGTTTCCTCTGACAAGCTTGTCCCAAGGTCAAAAGGTGAGCCTAAATGCTTGGAACAGGGTCGGGTACTTCCGGGTTGGTTTAGTTTTTTTTTGGCTTGTTTGGGGTTGGTTTAGGTTTGTTTTGGGGGCTTTGGTCATGATTGTCCCAGTACATCTTTAGACACATTTCGGGAATTTGGCCCTTGAAGCGGTCAACTCGGCCTGGGCACCATGGTAGAAGAATGTTCTGTTCAATAGCCTCTATCCGTTGAGATAAGGGCCCCCAAAAAGATTCTCAGCCTAAGAACCCCTCTCCTGGGATGTGTGAGTTCTGTGGGCCTTTGGTTCCTCCCTAGAAATCGGATATGGAACCCCCTCAATGGGTTTCCTGAGGGTTTCCTCATGATTTTGTGTGATTTCCGCGTGGTTGCCTCATGGTTTCCATGAATCCCTCTTGGTTTTCCTTGGTCTCCCAGTGCAAAAGCTGAACACAACCCCATATTTGTCATGTTTCCCCCTCCCCCAAAAATAACAAAGCGAACAGCTTTTCTCACACCCCCATTTGGTTTCATCTTTGTTTCCCCCCAAAAAAAGAAGAAGAAGAAGAAGAAGAAGAAGAAGAAGAAGAAGAAGAAGAAGAAGAAGAAGAAGAAAGAAACCACACAAGACACAAACGGTAAATAAAGGAACGAACCGCCCATGGCGTGCACCGAATAAATTCCCGCCCTCCCCCCACTGCACACCTCGCTTCCCGCGTGGCCCGCGCCGCCGGACGCGCAGGGCGGTGTGCTGCACGGGGACCCCCAGCCAACGACGGCCCGCGGAGGTGATCTCCTCTCAGGCCACGGGAGCCATGGGGTTTTTGATGGGGGAAGGGAAGGGAAGGGTTGAAGGGGGGGGTCCAAGGTTTTTCAGGCGGAGAGGGGGGTGTGGACATCTTTGTGGTGGTTATATAAAAACAAAGGTTGTTTTGTGTTATTATGTTTGTTGGTTCTCCGGGCCGTTGGGTTTAAGCGGGAATTGCGTGTACCGCTTGAGATTGACATGGGTTTGTCTCTAAGGTGGTTGCCTTTTTCGGACGGTCTTAAAGGGCAGCCGCAAGCAAACAGCGCAGGTTGTATGGCGGCCTGTTTTGAGAAGCACACAAATAGCTATGAATTTTGGTTGGAAGCACTTAAGTGGTTGGACTTCTGACTCCGCACGAAATTTTGATGTCCACCATTTGGGGCCCAACGGTTGACGCAACGTGTAAGCCAGCTCCTGTTTCGGGTCCACGGTATGGTGTGTCTCGTGTTCAGGGCCCCCCAGAAAAACCCGATTTGAAAGCACCCCACGTGGGGTCAAACATCCAGCGGCGATCGGGGAGTTTCGGATGTTTTGCCCCAGGTGTTGGCCCAGGTGTTTGCAACCCACAGATGGTCAACCCACATCCGAGATGTTCAAGCTACAAGCAAAACCCAAAGTTGTTTCCTTTCACCCCACTTGCTTCGTCCATGAACATGTTCAACCAACTTTGGCCTCAACCAACTGAACACGCCTCCTGCCCAATGTTTTTTTACTTTCCTTTCATCTCACTTGGTTCATCCCAGGAAGAAGTCTCCCACTTTGGCCTCAACAAACACGGCTCCGGTTTCACCAGACCTTGACGACAGCTCCGCCTCGTGGCCTGGCCTCTCGCCACGCCTTCTCTCGCCTTGGGAGCTCCGAGCTCCGAGCTGTGAGGGGGCGCCGGTGATGGCCAAGAACGAGATCCCCGCGGCGCTGCCTTGGGATCAACCGAGGCCCAAGAGGCGGACCGATCGGTCGGAGAAGGGGTTTCTGACCAGTTGGGGGGGGGGCTGACCCCTTTTGAAGTGCCTGGAGTCTCCGGATCTGACCCTTTGAATAAAAAATGGGTCAATGACCCATTATTGTGGGTAATGGCCAGCCCATTTTTTATTCGGGTCATGGAGACTCCAGGTGGGTTTAAGACGGCGCCCAAAGGACACCGACACCCCATGCCCGAGCTTTCGGAGCCCTTTTTGGTGTTTGAAGGAGCCAAAACGGCACACACCAGTTTAATTAAGATTTGGGGGCCGATTCCCCACCCATGTGATCCCCCGTAGCTATTGCATGGGGAGGGGAGTCCACACCCAAAGGTGAGTTGCAATTTAAATACTGTAGCCGGTTTTTTGGTCGGTTTGGCTGAAACTAGCTACTCATAGGTGTCCTTGTAGGTTAGTTTGGTTAAAGATACATGGCACTGGTTTAGATTGGCTTTATAGAATTCATTCACCAGGGTCATCTATTTTACCAAAGGACACCTATGTAGGTACTGCGTTCACTTCTCGATGTTTTATTTAACAGCGCTATCTTCCTCAACGGCACCTAGGGTGTGGGTGCGGAGTCCTTGTTGTCGAAAGTCCAGCTTGCGATTTGATGGCGGATCTGCTCACTTTCAGCCGGCTGCCAGGGATACGACTCCTTTGCGGAACAGGCGGGGATAGATGTAGCAGAAAAAGGATCACCTAGATCGCCAGGTGTCTCTCTGTTTTTTTTCTCTCTGGACCCCAACACAGCCACGGCTGCTGGGGGAAAGCAGCAACTGGCGATGCAGGCATGACCATGGCCGTCACATGTTGGGCTCAAAACCCGGCTGGCCATTTGTTCGGAAGAAAAGCAGGCGTTCACAGTCAGAAGGACTTGTCCAGACAATTATGATACGTGGTACTTGACCAGATGGATGGGGTTGACCAGATGGATCTTCCGAAGCGCGGTCAGGTCTCCCATGCAGTCCTTTAGATCAACAGCGCTGGGATCTCGGAATCTCGGAGGGTCAGGTGCTTCACCAAGCAGTTGGTTGCATAAATTGGGCCCTCCCAAAATTCCCGAAATGGGTTCCATTTCAGCCATTTCAGCCACAATCAATACCAATTCGGGTAGATGGATAGTGTCACGCCCTCGAAGCTCTTGATTTCGGGTAGGCCGCTTGAATGACGAGGTTTAAAAAACGTAGCCCATGAAAAAACACGGCAAGGGGTATTTCTCTCGGGGACCTCTGAAAGGGTTGCATGGGTAAATTTGATGCCCAGCGAGAGTGGCTGGTCATCGTCGGCGCGTTTCCCCTGGCTTGTCCCTAGGCTTGCTGCTTCGAGAGGGAATGAGTTGGAATGACCCCCTAGAAACAATCCCCGATCTGGTTTCCTTGAGAAACCCGAACTGAGCACCCACAATTGAGCACCTCAAGCTGATTTTGAGCTCAAGAAGTGGTGTCGCTCTTTTTCTTAGGACCCTTCCGTCACCCTCAGAACCCCTCCAAAGCCCCAACCCCCAACCACCCCCCAACAAAAATGCAAACAACTGGCTGAGGGTACCCGTTTGGATTTAAAGCAAAACAACCAACAAAACCCCTTGACATTTTGGGTGGTCCGATTCCTAAAAAAGGTTCGACGCTCACATCAGCAACTGCTGAGGGGACCTGGTCTCACCGAGGTCTTTGAGCCAGAGCCCCCTGGGGACCGCCATAGTCTGCGACCCCAGCCCTGAAAAATTGGAGTTCCGGAGTTGCCCCCCCGGTCGGATCACCCCCACCCCCGCCATTTTTTGAGGGAGGAACCTAGTCTTCCAGAACTTTCTCTGAGGTTCCATGTTTGCGGACGGGCCCTTTTTTGGAGAGGGAAGTCAAAAAGGCGAAGCTGGGGATCACCCCCCCCCCCCCATTTTTTGAGGGGGATCCAGACCCCAGTGACCCTCGTGCCGTTGCAGATAGGTGTGGCGCACCAATCTTGAGCACCCGATCAGTGCTTGATCAAACGGTCCTCATGGGATGACCTGCCGGCACCGGCCAAAAAAACCATGGCCATTACATGGGATGGCCATTACATGGGGATGGCCATTGGTTGGAAAACCACAAAAATGTGATTTTTCAAGCACATTGAAAAAAACTACCCATGGTCATTTGGGGGGGGCGAAGAGAGATCAACTGCCAGTTCAGTATCCGAAGCGTCCGTTGGCTGGTGGCTTCTGGCCGGGTGAGAGCCGCGTGGCGATGTTTGGATGCGGCCAGAAACCTGTGGCTCATTGGTCGAAATGTGTACGGTGGAAGCCGTGAGTCACTTGACATGGTTTGGGCGAGTTTGCTCTATTGAGAGTGCAGGAATCCAGGGGTTTCATCCCATGATTCATTCATGAAGTTCAGAGTTTCTTCAGTCCAAATTACTTGTGACTGTCTTGCCCTTTTTCGTCTACGCGAGTGCCATTTAGGCAGCCCTGCTTGATGCTGGCGCGAGTTTCCCAGTTGCACTTCCCTGTTTGGGCGGTTTGAGCATCACCTCTTGGACCGCCTAACTCTTATTCAAGTGTGTGTTTTCGCGATCTTTCTTCTTGGTTCCCAGCTATGCCCTTTGGAGTTTTATCTGGATGTATGACAAATTCCACTGAAGTCTAGCTTTTGAGCGATCAAAGCACCAGGTATTCCGGGTTGGACTCAACACATGGCGCCTGGCACCCGTCTTTTCCAATTTTCCCCATCCGAACGGAATCCCAGCGAGGCCTGTTCTACTGCTGCCCTGGGGGATGAGGGCCCCGGCCGCGGGCTCTACGTCGCCATGCAGCGAGGTGAGCTCAAGGGGGCGAACGCTCAACAGAATATCCCCCCAATATTTTGGGTAACACATGGGTGTGGCTCAAAGTTTAAGAGCTTTGCCTCCACTTACCTAGGGGCCATTTAGGGTACATTTTTTTGAGCTGCAGCCACATAGAACTTTCCCCCATGACTTTGACTTTTGGGTAATCACGTAACACCCATCCACCTTTTTGGACGAAGAGGAGCAAGCCAATTGGAGAAGGGGCATGGCTTGATTTCCGTTGGCCTGTTGTTGAAATTCCTGTAGCTGGACACTTAAGCTACGATTAGCAAAGGGACACCCCATTTCTTTTGGGTGGCAAGATCAATGATTTTTATGCGTTTGAGGGTCGAGGTAGCTGGTATCAAGGAACTTCGCCTTGAAGGGTGAGTACTGTGGATGCACACCATCCCTTAGCACCACGAAATGAGTTACCATGGTCGAAACCATACCGGTGGATCATCAGAAGCCAGGGTTTCTGAACTGGTGCGAGTATTGATTTCGTCCGGCCACCGTAGGGGGCCCCCCAAATGGGATTTCGGTTTCCCTGTTGGTTTGCATTTGATAACCACTTGAGAACCATCCCGACCAACTATGCCAACTATCCGCTTGACAACCACGCGGGAATATTTACACTTACTAGAGTAAAAAGGATGACTTGTTGCACACTCACCAAAATGCCACAATTGGGGCTACTCGCCAACATCCACTGGAATTGGGGGACAAACCTTTGAATAATTGCTCTGGGATGAGCATTCAGTCATGGGGATGGTTGACACATCTACAATTGACAGTATACATTGCTAGAGGGGATCCCAAATTCCTTTGGTGTCAAATCGCATGGGTCACACAGCGGCCTTCATCATTCGCAAGATCCTTCGGTCCTCTTAGGATGGGCGAATCCTGCGGATTGTTCAGGCTAGCCTCATGACCAAATCAGGGTGAAGAAGCTTCCTGGAAGCCAAGGCAAGTCCTAAGAGCCAGCTTCCAAGTCTCCAGCTCGTCCCAGTTTTTTGCAGCCTTTTCACAAGAGCCCCAAAGACCGCAGAGGTGGGTGGTTGGTTTCGCGGCCAGAGCCTAGCGCTTTGGAGCAACCCCGAAAGCTTCTGGGTCGCGCCATTTCCGGGTGCTCGGGGGAAAAAACAAAAGAACAAAAAAAATGATCTGCTCACTTTCTGAGTTCCGTTTCGGACTTGAGCCGCTTTTTGATGGAAGTAACGAATGGCAAGCGAATTACCTGGAGTCTGCTGCTGACTCAATGACCAACCATGTTTTTGGGTAATGACCAACCATTTTTTGTTCGAGTTAGAAGGAGACTCCAGGTAGTCGCAGTTCGGACTTTTGGCCCATCCTCAAGGGTCCTTCTCCCCGGCCAGGGCTGGGCCCTCGGGAGCCAGTCAGGAGCTCGGCTTTTCGTTTGGTGTGGGGGCCCTCAAGAAAAACGGGTGGCGCGGGTCCTCAAACCTTTTTCGGAAAGTTTCGAACACCTTTCTGGCTCATGGCGGTTTGTGAGCATCACCTTTGTGGCTTTTGGGGGGTGATTTTGAACATCACCTTTTTGGCCCATGAGGGCCCCTGGTGATATTTTAAGAAGAGATGTAGGGAAGCCTGATTGTTACAAACCACCTTTTTTGGACCCTGAGTCACATTAGGTGCTCTTGACCTTAGCACCCCCCTCTCCCCCAAATCATTCTGCGAGGTCCTGTAGTGGGGATATTCCTTTGGGGAGACCTCCCTCAAGTGGGGGCTGGTTGGGTCAACCTCCGACGCTCGAAATCGCGGCCTCGAGGCCAGAGACCGACGCAACGATGGATCTCCAACGAGGCCGAGGCACCTTGAGGGGGCCCCCCCGGTTTCTTTTTTGTTTGTTGCTCTTCTTTGGTTTCTGCATGAGTGTTTTAAGGGGCGGGGTGTTGCTCTTCTTTGGTTTCTGCATGAGTTGTTTCAAGGGGGGGCCTTCAAGCCACCATTTCGCGGGTGGTTTGGAGCATGGCGCTAGAATGGGTCCATCAAAATCCGACATTAGCATACCACGTGTCAGGTTTGACGTATATCATCATCTAATATGGCTCACTTCCTGAGTTGGTGGACTTTAAACTTTTTGGAAAGACCATTTTAGTGGTAAATACAAAGTTCAAACTTTTCTTGGCCAGTCAACTTGGGAAGTGAGATGGCAAGTAGTCGCGCGCCTTGAAGGCTCTCTCACTGCCCTCTCTCTCGTGTCCTTTCACCAGGCCTTCCACCCCTTTGCGGCGCAATCGCCCGCGCGTGCTGGCCTGAGCCGTGAGCCGATCCTTGCCGGAGGGCGAGGTTCGAGGTTCGAGGCTCGGCGCCGGAGGTTTGGTTAAATCAAGCGCGAAAAGTGAGCAACGGGGCGCAAAAAAACACGGAATTCCCCAGCAACATGTTCCCACACAAAAAGTATCCACACATTGACATGGGGGCCCTGGGGTACACTCAATTCCACCAAGGGTTGCTAGGGACGGTGATCAGCTTCTTGAAAAGGTGTGTTGGAAAGCAGAAGTGTACATATTGACTTTTGTTCAGGGAACCATGACCATGACCCGCAAAGAGTTTTGACCATGGCGCATCTGTCACATATGTCTGGCTGAGAGCAAGGTAGCTGCCTGTCCAGCAGTCTCCTATGAAGCGCTTTCAGAGGACCCGTCTCGATCCGTCTCGATCCGGGCAAGCTCTCGAGGTCCCTGCCAATGGGCTTGCTGAGGGGTGTCGACATGAGGATTTGGAGCCCCAAAATGGGTTGGTTTGATCTTTGGCTTTGCTTTCCACCCAGCCCTTTTCCATGAACGTTTTCTTCCAAAGGAGGTTTGTCAAGCCACGTTTGGGAGAATGATGCATGGAAGGTGCATGTTTGTGCATCGAAAATCCATATATCACAATCGTCTTTTGGGTCGCCGGCCACCCGGCCACCCTGCCACCCGACCAAGGCCACCTCCGAAGAAGCATCTTGCGACTGCCGAACCGCTCGCCCCCCTGCAAGTTCTGACTTGCATGTCTGTAAGGGCCACTTGGTTGACGTTGGAAGGGGAGCAAAAAATCAAGTTTTAGTAGTTAAGTGGGGATTTCCCACTAAACCACAATACGCAAAAACTGTAAATGCTTGCTGGCCCAAGTCTTGCGCTGCGTGAGCTGAAGGCCCCCAGCGTGTTGGGGGTGTCAGTACATATACATAGTACATAAATATATATATATATATATATGGCCATGGGTCAAAATCCAATTCGTGCCCCCAGTGAACATCCCAATTCAACCACTAAAATAGGCTGAAATGGGTGGTGCACCCACCCCAAAACGGTACCATTGGTTTTGACAGCCATATATGTCTGTGTATATATATATATATATTACTTATACACATTCCACATAATGTGGGTAACAGGGAAACAAGCAGCTTCCCAGTTGGATCAAACGATGTGTCACGTTTCCCAAACAAAAGGACGCAGACATGATGGAGGCAGAAACAGAGGGTGAGCTGTGCTTGAAGTGATCGATCCATGTGCTGCAGGACACCTTGGATGTGTACATGCAGAGGTTGGCGAGGTGCAATTCTTATGGGTGTCCTGCTTTGTCGAGGCTTGGTGAAAGTCCTTTTCACCTCGCTCTCGAGGGAAGCCAAAGGACAACCACCATTTTGGCCTTTTGGTCCCCCCGTATTTTGACACATAACTTGTACCCATCCATCGCGAGGGGCCGCGAGGGGAGCTATTGCAAAAACTAACCTTGCCTTCGCATTGTTACTAATTAGGACGGGGCCGCCCCGGATCCTTGGGATTCATCCGAAGTTAGCAGGTCTTAGTCAAGACAACTAGCCACTGGGGGTTCCCCTTATGGCTCTGAATCAGTATTGGATTGCACGTCCTCGAGCATGTCAACGAGCCAGGTGCCTACCGCAGAATGGCGCGCGCTCGCTGTACATTCGTAGACTATCTCGTGGTGAGTACGAGGTGGGTGCTACAAGAGCTTTGGAACATGATGTTCATTTGTGCAGGTGGATGGATGTCGGGTGAGCATTACTATGCGCGGGGGCGAGGCAGGGGTGAACTGTATGCAACACATTGTGTGGAGTCAATACGATCATAAGCTTTTCTGCAAGCAGGACAAGCAGGACAGGAAGCAGTATGTTTTCTATTCATGGATCCATGACGATCCACACGCGCTGTTTTACCTCAATGGAGGCTTATGCGTACTCGACCAACAGCAATGACGAGCTCGGGCGAGGTGAGACTCTGCAAAGGCGCGCTTGGGCTGATGCCTGAGTATACTGACAGAGCCATAGAAAGACAGGGAGCATGTCAGCGCTCTAAGATGGCTTCCACTCCTCCCAAACCACCACCATCCCCAAGGATCAGATGAAATCAGGGTGTATACCTGTCGCATGGTGTGATATAGTACTTGTATGGTTTGGGGCAGTGGACACTGTCTCAGAATGGCCCTTCAGATACTGGTTCTTAGTGACCCTGCATAGCACCAATAGTCGGCTGTTGGGTGCGATGGCTCCCCCTGAAGCAGTATTTGACAACTTTCGACTTTCGACTTTCGAGCCTTTCCCCCGATTTTCTTTCCGTTAGCAAACGTACTGCAGGATTGTCTTGCATTGAGTGGTCCTCCGAGAACACCTGGTGTCTTTTTTGCGAGTACCCTGAGGGGGTCGTCGCCACGGGAAACCAAAGGGAACCCACCTGAGTCACAATCAAAACCCGGCTAGATGAAGGTTCCAACCGGACATGGCTGCGGCCGCCTTCTACATTCTTTACATGGTTCTGGGTAGACCGGTTTAATACTGGGTTTTGATTCACCTTTGTTTGGGGGAGGGGGGCACATTCCAATTTGGAGAGAAACCCCAACTTGTATCTTTCTGCCAAAGGGCTGCATGCCGCAGCACAGCGGCACTTGACGTATTGCCAGCGGCCAGTTACCTGCTTCGAGCTGCAGATAGATCGCTGGTGCAGCCAGCGAGCTTTGCCCGCCGCACTCAAAGCCGGTGGTAGATGAAGGTTAGAATTGGAGACTGTCCCATTGCCATATATGGCCTTCACTGATTCACCTTGGTTTGGGCAGATCCACCGTGATTGCAGGTTTCGATTCTGACTCACCTCATGCATGCGTTGTGCGCGCGCGCGCGCGCGCGAGAAACCGCTTCTCGCTCCCTCGCCAGGTGCGGTCCATGAGCGGGCCGTCTGGGGCCTCCTTCAATCATCATGAGGCGAACGGGCCGTGTTTGTCCCAAAAGCCAAAGGAAACGGTGCTTAGGGGCAAACATGCGAGCCGTTGGTTTGGGGGGCGTGGGGTTTACAGCCCAAAGCTCCCCAATCATCGATGCCCAAACTTGGGGAAGCAGGGCATTTTGTGCGTCGCTCAAACCAGGTTTGCAAAAGTCCAGAAATCTATGGTCCATTTGAGAGGGAGGGGGGGGGACTCAATACATGTCAACACAACCCAGGGTCGATTTCGGGAACCACACATTTGGACCGCCGCTCATATAATAACATTGCATTTACCAGGGCATGGGCAGTTTCATTTGTTTGCTCCATGCCCCATGGGGCATTCTTTTGACTTTCGCTGTGGATGGACAACATCTTGCACCACTTTGAATGGAAAAAGCTGTGTGAATTTCTGTGAGAGATACCTACTGACTGGCAGGAGATTGTCGGTGGACAGTAGCAGAAGGACCTCACTTCTTGGTTCCCAGCCGTACCCAGAAGCAGTTTCAGACTTTCAGACTAGAGTTAAAAGGGAATGACATATCCCGCTAAGAGTTTGGCTTAGACGGCTTCCCTCGAAACCTGGGTTTGTCTTGTACTAGGGAACGCCCCCAAAAAAGAAATGAACGACATGACACATATGTTTTTTTGGGCAAAACTCCAAACAGGGTACCCTGAAAAAAAGGACCATCCCCTGCCGTCATGTAGAGCGGCCCGTGAGCCGAGCGACCGAGAAGGTCATGAGCCGCGTGCCAATGGCGCCGCGCGGCACTGCAAGCATGCCGGTGCCGCGAACCCGGACTGGCTTCCCACACCCAGGGGAGATGGTGTGTATATATATATATATAATATTATAAGTTTCCCTGGCTGGTGGGTTGGTTGGTAGGTAGGTGGGTAGGTAGGTGGGTAGGTAGGTAGGTTGCTTGGTTCCTATAGCCGGGTTTGTTTTTTTGTTTCTGGGGTTTGTGAAGGTCAGAAATAGGGTTGTTTCCCTTCAACCTACCACTTGGGGCACCCCTTTTTGGGTGGCTTTAAAGGAAACCCAAGACGGTAAACGAAGCCATTTTGGGAGGTCCCCTTAAAAACACACAACTGTGACTAAACAAGGGGCTGAATTATAGTATAGGTGACTGCTGTATAGCCTGGAATATTCCAGGAGTATTCTGGCGGGGCTGAACAATTGCTAATGGTTTACTCCAATGTTCATGACAACGTTTAGGCCCAATCTGGTTTCGTGGGGTTTATGGTAAGGCCTGGTTGATGGGTGAGACGACCCTTCGAGAGGCCAACAAATAGTTGATTTCTCCACCCCCTCAATTTTTCAAGCAACCATGTTTTTCCAAGGTCCTCATGGGAAGAAGTAGTCCTTCCCGCGGGCGTATCCAATGGGGATACCCCCCTTGTTTGGGATCGTTTCAAAAGGGAAACAGGCTATGTTGACCAGGGGGGCAGGTCCCCAATATGTTGGTCTGGACAGGGGTCCAGGGTGAAGGTTGGGTCATTTCCTCGTTTGGCACCCAAACTCTGGGTGCATGGCAAGGATGGGATCCCAATGCTCCAAATCCAATCTTTTAAAACGTCCAAGGGTTGCTTCCCCATTCTTTCTAGGGAACCAACAGCCTTGAGAAAACAGCTGGTTTTTGAAAAGAACGATGGTTGAAAAGAATGGGGAATCAACCCCTAGAAAACTTGCTGGGGCCTGCGAAGGCTTTTAAGGGGGGTGTCCCTGGGATTTGGAGCAGACAAGCGGTTTGGGTGGAATTGGATGAGTGAGGCACAACAGCAGCCCCTATGCTGGCGTGTTGGTGCGAGGCGAGAGAGAGAGAGAGAGAGTCGGTGAAGTGGGTGGGTTTGAGACTCAAAATTGTTGGAAACTCCCAGGTTTGATTTTGGTTTTCCTGGCGCTTTCCCTTTTGACAGCCCCAAGTTGGGTACCGACTCGCAAAAAAAGATCAAACCACAAGGCTAGAAAGTTGGAAGCGTGTTCTTGTTTTCCTTTGAATGGGGGTCATTCAGCGAACGGGAGGAGTTGGGGAGCCGCCTTTTGCAAACCAAGAGACCAAGCCATGGAGGAGGGATGGACCTCATGAAACCTGTGCTGATGTGAAAGCGGCAGTACCAGCCAGACATGGCTTCGGAGATCCGCTCTCTTGAGTATAGCTGGTCCAAATAGTGGCAATTACCCCCAAAGGTGGCGTCCCTTGTGTTTCCCTTCAGACTAAGATGGCTGTGGCTCAAAAAAAAAAGAGTACCCAAAATGGAACCCTGGCAAATGGAAACATGGACCAAAACCTGCGGTTTGCCTTTCCTGTTTAATTTTGAGCCACACCCAGATGTGGTACCCCCAAAAGTGGTGATGTCCTTTTTGTTTCCCTTCAGACTAAGATGAACAAGGGTGGCCTTGCACCCAAGCGGCTTTGGTTCCATGAGCCGCTTTCAGCCCCCGATGGTGGGAGCTTCTTGCTGGGCAGCAGCTTCTACAGCGCCGGAGACCCAACGACTTGACTTTGAGTTGAAGGGTCCCATTTTCACAGGGCTCCTCCAAAGATACATGTTGCCCATTTGAAACATGGCTTTTTCCACCAAAATTAAGTGACACCACCATGTACAAGGCAATGTTGAGGTGTATAATGTAAGGATCCCATTTTCAGGTTGGCGTTGAACGGGAAGCCAACGGGGACTACCGTATTCTGTCACACAAATTTGGCTTCGTCCAGCGGCCGCGCCGTTCTTGGAGCCGGTGCGACTTATTTTTGGGCGGGGAAACTTGAAGGAAGCCGGGGCGCTTTGGATTTTGAGGATTGGCCCCATCTTGAGACACACCCGCAGGAGAAGCGCCCACACATCCCCAAGAGGGCCACTTGAGTGGGTGACTCTATCACCTAGTTTCGTAAGGCCTACATATGCCTTGGTAGCCCTTTTTGGTAGAACTAGATGTCGATGGGTTTGAGGCGCTGCAAACCACCGCAAGATGGACATGCTTGGTGTCCTTTTTGGTTTCCCTTTGAACCGAGACTCAAACAACACTCCCTCAGATTCAGATGCTCCCAAAAAAAACCTCTGCAAATGGGAACCAAGTCTGCCAAAGCGGGTTCAGGGTGTAAAAGCAGCTGTGGAGAGTCTTCCGAATGCTACCTGGAGTGGTCCATTTTGAGAAACACCATATGGGCCACTGGCTCAAACCCGTCTCGGTTAGATGAAGGTTAGTAAGGGAAAATCCCGACCAGCTGCTTGTTGACTTGTTTGCATGGTTCTGGGTATACCATTTCCATACCAGGTTGTGGTTATGACTCATATGGGTTTGAGTCAGAATGGGTTTCGGAATATGGGTCAAAATAAAACCACTAGAAATTGGACCGCAGGGTTTAGTCTTTGGTTCCATTTACCGTGGCAAGCCATTTCGGGTACGTATTTTTGACCCATAGCCGTATGAGTTAGATAAAGGTTAGTCAGGGAAAATTCCGACTATACATGGGTGCAGCTGCTTTTTGACTTGTTTGCATGGTTCCGGGTATACCATGATTTCATGGTTTGAGTCAAAATGGCGTTCGGCACCCATATGAGTGAGTCCCTTGTGGTTTCTCAAAACAACACGCACCCCAAAAAGGCACCTCGCATCCTTTGGTTCTGAGGTGCCCGACCCCAGCGCGCAGAATGCCGAGGCAGGTGTTCCAGGGGTTGATTCCTTGTCCATTCTTTTCAGCCATCGTTCTTTTCAAAAACCCACGCTCCATTTCCCCGGGGTTTTTGGAGGTTTTCTAGAAGGATCCCTGGAAAGACTGGGGAAGTTACCCCTAGAGGTTTCAGAGGGAAGCCAACAAGAACGCCGAAACCCCCATGATTTTGCGGGTGCTTTCTTTCTATTTTGAGGGCCCAATTGTATGGTCCCAGATGGGTTTGTCCGGGTTCCTTTTGGATTTCACGTTGGGGGTTGGTACTCCGAAAGAGGAACAGGTATGGCATGTGGCGCTCTTTAGACAAAGCTCCCTATATTTCTCGAATAAAAACAGATGCCTACAGTACAGCAACCACCAACAGATGGAAAATAGTGCACCCTGTTTCGTAGGCATTCGTAAGCCTTCCAAAACATCGAGCCACCAGCATTCTGGAGAGGCTATGCACTTGATGCAGACGCGGTATCCTCAGACTCGGTCGTTGTTGCCTGACTTGGGCACGTCTTTTGCGAGAGTCCCAAAATTGATAGGCCTGTCCTATCAATAGGGTTCCCTTTTAAAAGTGATGAACCCCACCCACCCCCTCCGAACCCCTTTCGGGGTCGTGCTAAAAAGAAGCCCGAGGACAAAATTGGGGGTCTGATTTTGAAAGCCCCTTTGTCTGTGAGTCAGGCAGAAGCATCAGCTGCAGCACTCTTCTTCCAGGCACAGGGTTTATGCGGATGCGGAGATTTTATGAGGTTCGGTCACAAAAAATGGTATTGCAGCCTAGGGTTTATGTTGTGTATCTTGACTTGGTATCATGGGGCTGAGGCACCTCTGGCTGTTAGTTGGGTTGCGTGGTTCCTTTTCCCTTCTTTCCCCTTGCACCAGTTGTCTTTGTTTGGGAGCCCGATTTCTTTGATTTGGCAGACATGGTCGACACCTGTTTTGCAGGCAGGCCAGCCAGGGCTCCTTCTACTTGGAGGCACGGATCGAAGAGCTCGCCGGGTCCGTAAAGTGGCCTGGAGTCTCCTTCCGACCCTTAGACCATTGTCCCCAAACCAAACCAGCCGCGAGGTTGTTTCAAAACAAGCACCTGGAGTCCCCTTCTGACCCGAAATAAAAATGGTGGGTGATACCCCAAAATAATGGTTCGTTGACCCATTTTTATTTCGGGTCACGGAGACTCCAGGCAGAAGTGGCATGAGGCTTGGCAAGTAAGGCTGCGGGCGGTTGGCCAAAAACAATCAAGTTGTTTGTTCTCTCGGAAATTCAGAGAAGAGGAGATCACAAGTTAAACCGGCCCCCGGTTTTCCGCAATTCGAAATTCGAAGTTCGCGAGTTGCAGGCGCCGAATTGGAGGAACTATGTGGTCATCTCAGTGGGTACGCGAGGAAGGTCTTGCCCCAGAAGACTTTGGGGTTCTTCCGGATGGTTTGGAGCGGCTCAATGCAATGGTTGCCACCAGCCGCGTGGCCTTGACCGCATCTTTCTGCGATAAAGGAATAGGACAGTGAGATAGAGTAGCCCTTCCAATGCCCTCTCTGTCTCGCTGACTCTGGCAAATAGCCGACCCAGATGAATAAAGCCGCTGGTTGATTTTTGATTGGGGGCTGTCCCATGTTGGGGATCCGAGCCATTTTTTTGGCCCCGGCCTTCTCCAAAAAAGGAGGCAAGACAAGGCTTCGTGAAGGGTCACAGGAGGTCAAAGATACAAGATTCTCCCTTGCAAATTCATTTGGAGCCCAACATTTAGGTTTCCCAACAAGATATTGCTCTGAACATGGAGGGTCTTTTGGGTTCCGTGTTAATCTGTAGACTATTCCGAATTCCAGCATTGAAGTTGACAAACATCGGGCAGCTGATTCCCCGGCAGAGGTTCCGGCGGTCGCGCCTGTCCGCGCCTCAAGCAGGGGACAGTCCCGTGCAGCAAGTTTCCAGCCATTGATTTTGGGTCCCAACAAACATGGGAGTGCACAGGGCAGCTTTGGAAGACGATTCTTCTTCGCGGTCCAGTGCACTTCCATGTTTGTGGGTGAGCGAAGGCTGCAGGCTGCATCTCTTGCTTTCAGGGTGCGTATCCTGTTCCAATGCAGGCAGGGCCGGGTGGCTACGATGAATCCGTAAGGGTAGGCCCTTCAAGCAGTTCATGTGGGTGTGGCTCAAAATTAAACAGGGGGGGCAAACCGCAGGTTTTGGTCCATGTTTTTACTTACCAGGGCAACCCATTTTGGAATTCCGGATTTTTGAGCCACAGCCATGTGTTTTGATGATCCCCACTGTAGACTTAAACCCAGGAGTGCTCAAATAGGGGGCGACGAACTGGCCCTGGGTGTACGTCCTTGTGAGCATGGAACCCGGTGGGGCCGCGTCTTGGGCCTTGGGTTGGTACCCTAGCTTGGCTTCAGAAGCTACAGGGATCCGGGGCCCCCCTTTCAGATCCTGTTGGCTTCATTGAATCGAGAAAACATTGGGAGGACTCCCTCTCCCTTTGCCATGTGGTCAAAAGGCCCAGTTATTTGGGATTAGGGATATTCATGAACCCACTAGACAGCCACTATGAACTGTCCTATTCAGCGAATGGCCTTGGCCCACATGTGGGTTTGTCCTTTTTCAGGGAACCCCCCCCTCTTTTTGCTCGGTTTTAACGCGGAAGCGAACGGAAACCGCCCTTTTGCAGGGTCCATCCAACCGGAAAAAGCCACTCAGTGCATGCTCCGCCTTCCTGCCTTCCCATTCGGTAGGCCCTTTACGGTCATGGCCATCCCTCCTTCGTGGCGGTGTCTGGCTGAACATGGAGCTTGCAGCGAGCAAGGGCTCGGGTGCGAGTTGCATGCATTCCCAGCAAAACTGGTGTGTACCGTACGGGAACAGTCCCCATCGAGTTTATTTATTCATGGTTTCAGAAAGCGTTCTAGTCCCAATGCGTTAGAGCTCGCTACTGCTGTGCCAGACATGTGTTTGTTTTCTCTTTTCGGTGTTTGTTGTGAATTGCTTCCAGGATCAACTTCGTTTGTTGTTGTGAATTTGTTTTTGTTGTGAATTATCTTTTTTGTTGTTTGTTGTGAGTTTGCAACAGGGACTTTTTAATTCCAGGATCAATTTGCGCCCAAAGGGCAGGGCCCTTTGGCATCCAGGGCCTGCCTTGCGCACTTGTAATTTGGCATGTGCAATGCACAGCCAGAGCTTCCGGTTGCGGCTGGTAGGTCTGATTGGACAAGGGGTGTGTGTCTGTGGGTTTGTCTTAGAATAGGTAAACCCCCGAAAATGGCGCAAGGATGCGCAAGGGTTTTCCTTTTCCCTTTAAAACGGCACACCCATGGGGTACCCACACACAAATTTTGACACACCCATGTGTGTGTGTGTGTGCGTGGTCAGACCTGCTACGGTTGCATGCCATTGCAGTGTAACAGCATGTCGGCTGGTGAACTTGCATGAGCCAAGCGAAAACCCGCCTGGGTCCAGTGGGGGAGGTAGCTTTTTGAAGGATGCTTGGTCATAAGACCAGTTGCAGAGTTTGCATGAGCTTTTCATTTCAATCACTCAGCCTATTTCGAACGCTTGTGTGTTGTGGTGGCAGCGAAAGTGAGTCAGCGATGAATCCAGACAAACAAGTGCTTGTTCAGCAGCTAAAGGTCCAAAACAACACCTGCGGGGCTTTTCTAGAGAGATACGGTTGAAGACCTGTCCATTGCAAGTTGCAAGCATTTCTATCTCTCCCGCTCTCTCTCTCTCTCTCTCTCGCTTTCTTTGTCTGGTGTTTCTTCTTTTTATCTTCCTTTTTTGCTCAGCCAGTTTTTTTATCATCCCGTTTTGCCACGCGAGCAGAGAAAACGTAGTGGTGATAACTGCCCAGATTGCACTTAATTTGCAAATGTCAATGGAGAACATCACCACGAATATCATGCCCTCCAATTCATGCCCGTGTTACATGGGTGATGGCGCAAGCTTTATGGTCAAGTCACAGAGCAGCGCGGGTCGATGTAGCGCCCGCCCTGCGGGGGTGCGCAGGGCCGGCGTGTAGCCCGCAAGGTCCGGCGGCAGCCTTAGTGTCGCCAAAGAAACAATCAAAACCTGGGTAGATGAAGGTAAGGGACAATCCCAACCATAAATGGCTGCGGCCGCCTTCTTACTTCTTACATGGTTCTGGGCAGACCATTTTACTACCGGGTTTTGATTATGACTCATTTGCCGCGCCTGCCATGTTTGAGGGTATCCGTTTTGGGGGTTGGTTTAAACGGGGAAGCCAAAGTAAAGCATTGCAATCCTTTGTGGGGCGTTTTCTTTTCTTCGGTTTCTTAATGATTTTTATGTTGCTGCACACTGCTGGTTGTGGCTTAAATCAGGTAACCCTTAGTGGGTGGTTTGGATTGGTGGTTTGGAGATTTGAACCCCTGGTTTTTGTGGAGGGTAAATAGGATCCCATCCATTTCACCACCAAACCACCGGTCTCCAAATCACCTACTTAGAGAGAAGCGGAGTCAAGGTAATGCAGATCGATTCTACCTGGAGTCTCCATGACCCTTAAACAATGGTTGGTCAATACCCAAAATAATGGGGTCATTGACCCATGTTTGTTTCGGGTCATGGAGACTCCAGGTACACCGATACATAACCTGCACTCAACCGTTGAATCTTGCGCCGTCTGAGGCCATGGGCAGGTGACAGCTGTCGGGCCAGAGGGGCCAGTCTGGGGCTTATCTGCTTTCCAGACTCGAACAGGGTTTCCACTACTCCCAAACTGGGCCCTTGTCCAAAAGATTTTGCATTTTCAGGTTAAGACTCAATATGGAGCATAGTCAGAAGAGAGCCATGCTCTGTGCACCCCATGGTCCAAGCAAGCCACTCCCTGGGGTAGCCACTGGAATCGGAGCCCACTGAAGGCTGGTGGACATGATCCAATCTCATCCCATCGAGGTATTCTCATCCAAAACTCCAAAACCAGAAGTCCCACCCAATTTTCCCACTGTTTCCTTTTGGAGAAGCCGAAGTTCATTTGATCCCAGCTAGAAACTGGAGAAGTTTTTTCGGCCGCCTTTGAAAAAAACCCGAACCCGGAACCTGGCGAAACGAAGATGGGCTTTGATCCCAGGAAGCTTCACGAAATCAGCGGTGGGACTTAGGATGGCGCGACCGCAACCTGCCGGCTGCCTGGTGTGTGTGTGTGTGTCGCGCGCCATGCCACGAATGAATTTCCCGAACCGCGGCCGAGAGAAGCCTTCGGGAAGCAAATGGCAAAGCCTCAAAAATGATTGACAGAGTGGAAGCGAAAGGTGGGTAATCCTTTTGGTTTCCCAAGAAACATAGCCAGGGGGGAGCCTCACAAACTACACACAGCCACAGACTCACTTAGTGGGTATGGGTCAAAATTAAACCACCAGGAATTGGACCGCAGGTTTTGGTCCATTCCACTTACTAGGATTCCATTTGGGGCACATATTTTTGACCCACAGCCAAATGATTGACAGAGTGGAAGCGCTCTCGGATTTCAAGCTGAGATGTGGGCATGATGTGAAAGCTTGGTGGACATATGGCTGTGCAATGAAATCCCATTTTGGGGTAGGAGCACCACCCATTCGAGTCTATTTTAGTGGGGATTGGGATGTTCACCGGCGGTACGGAATTTTGACCCATGGCCATGTCGGCTTTGGCGGAGAGGTTTAGTTGGCACATCTCTCCCGAAAGATTTACCCGCGCTAGGTTTCCCGCCCAATCGTGCCAGTTGCCTAGGGGTAACTTCCCCATTCTTTCCAGGGATCCTTTTTTCTAGAAAACCACCAAAAACCCTGGGGAAATGGCTGGTTTTTGAAAAGAACCATGGCTGAAAATATTGGGGAATCAACCCCTAGAAGTTGCAGGAGTGCTTTCACGGCTGAGGCGCAAAATGCCAGGAAGGCAAGGGTGCCTTCCAAGCTGGACCGGGCCAAGGCCCTTCCCCAGGAACGAGTGTTTCTTGGGCCACAGCGGTGGATCGCCCTTTTGTCCCAAGATCCCGAACTGGGCCTCATTCTATCATTCGTTTATGTTGCTCTTTTTGGTGTTGGTAAATTCGTTGAAAGGTTGTGTTACAGGAGAACATCAAAGAAATGCCAGTGGATCCTTCACCTGGCTTGATTTTGAGACTGCAGGTGAAAAAGTGCTTGCCAGCACTGGCGCCGGCACTGGCGCCCTATCCACCAGGAGCGCGGGATCGGGTTTGTCTGATAGACTGTTTGAGGTTTTATGTTTAGGATACAACCTCCGAGTAGCACTCATGAACCAGCCTTTGGTTTTGGTAAAGTCAAATCCTGGGTTCAAGTCTACCTTGCAGTACGGAGGTTTCGGGACCCGGCCATCTTTTTCTTTGGCAGTTGAGTTGGTGTCTGAAACAGAATCTGTCCAGGAGAATTTTCCCCATGATCGAAGTGCGCAAAGTTTCGTGTGGGAGGGATCCTTAGTAAAATTCTGGGTTGTTGGAGGACAAGTGGTCCAATTCAGTTCCTTTCTCAGTCGGTGTGGGTATCCCGGTATCAGCTTTTCCTCGGTAAAACGAGCTCACCGTGATGTCGGTTCTTGAACTGGAGATGTCTTAGTTCTAGTTTTGGAAGTGTAGCCCCAGGAATCCCACCACTCTAGGTATCCAGGCGTTTCTCCATGGAATGGCAAAACAACCTGGAGGTAAAAACACCTAAGGGTCACTCCACCATGTAAAACCTACCAGTAAGAATATTTGGTTACCTACCATAGTTTCCAGCCTGGAAGCACTGGCGCGCAGATTCTGCTGGCAAGATCCGATTCTCAGGATGTGCCGTGGTGTCCGCAGACTTGCTCCAGCGGTTGCAGGAGGAGGCGGCGCATTTGGGAAGGACGAGAATGGGGCGAGCGCTAAACTTCAACCGCAAAAAAAGGGATGAGCTCTAAATTTCCCATGTCCTCTTGGGAAGCAATTGTTTACGCTCACATGCAAGGAACGTGACGTGGTCCGACAGGATCCACTGAACCAATGATGCCTTCTTTGCGCTGGCAAAACGACTGGGTGACTCATGGTGTTGGAAGGGACACTTCTCGTGGGTGAGCCCGTGATAATTCAAGGGACATGAAACTTTGCAATGTTTGGATGGGGCGTGCAGGATGTCTGTTTCAGGAACGGAGCCCATTTCCCTTTGAACACAATTTATGGGTATCTCTGGGGACGACTTTCATCCTTTTCTGGGGCACTTCCTTCCCAGAAAACCACCACACACCCTAGGGAAAACCGGGGGCTTCGGGGGCGCCGAAGCGCCGGCGAGCGTGCACCTGCGAGCTTTCCGTGCAGGGAACGCCTCGTCTCTCCAATGGCCCTTAGCAGGTTTGGCCAAACCCTGGATCTCTAGAAAAGCAGCGAGTTGGGAAGATGAGCCTTGCATTTCCCGAGACCTTTCCCTCAAAGGACGGAATTCTCTGGGATAGGAAGCAAGGAGTTGCAGAGAGCCGACTGCCCTTGAACAAAGAGTCTCACCCAGCGTCAACCTTGGAGAATCATGGCTTGAACCGCCTCACGTTAATCGGCAGGTCGGCCGAGCTCCTGTGCGCCCGGCGGGTCTTGCTCATTTTTTCGGGATGACTTTCATATGGTCCATTGGCTTTTTTCGGCTGGGCATCTTCTCGCGGATGGCAGGCCAAGCTCCCGGAGAAAGAGATCCCGACGGAGCCCAAGGCTGGCAGACCGAGCCGAGCCCAGCGCCCAACATCGACAGAGCGCATATTCAGCGGAGCTTCGGGGTTGCGGATTTTACTGGAGCCGGTCGAAGTTAAGGCTATCGAACCATTTTGGCAGAACCCCCAAGTCAATGGGTTTGCGGAGCTCAGATAAGGTTGGGGCATTGGACATGGAGGAATGTGGGGGCATGTGAGGCGACTCACTTCA